ACAAAATGAATTTGCATATAAATATGTAAACTTTTCTATTTTTAAAGCGTTTATTTATTAATTAGGGTCTCTATTTTGTTAATGTAATGAATCAAAATAAATTTTGAAATTACTTTTGCGTAGAACTTGATTTTTTCATCATCAAGTCATGAGGGGCGAGTTTGTCAATTACAGGGCGAATTCGTCAGTACAACTAAACTAATTGAAAAATATGTCTCTTTGGCAGAAAACGAAATTCCTTACTAGTGGTAAAGACAGCTTATCTAGGAGAAAAAAAACTTTGATATAAAACATTGTTTTTGAGGTAATAGTAGGATGATTTCCTTAATCTAGAATAATAAACCATAGTGATGTAGATAGAACTACTGATAGCCTACAGCAAGCTACAGATAGAATTACCTTCATATAACAACAAGATACAATTACTGAAAGTCAGTTTCCTGATTTCTAAAACATCTAAAAGGGAGTCAATTGTTAAACTTTTTCTAGAAAATATCAAATAATGATTTTGGCATAAATGAAAACTGTCTAACTGCGCTAGCGCACAAAATAACACGTTAAAGCAATAACAAAAATTATATCACTATGACTATTTAAGAATTTACAAGACTTTTCTATGTCCTTTGCACACAATTTGCTTATATATTAACTCCTAAAAATCCTTTAAATCCTGACTGCAACTTAAACATTTAAGCCAATCTTTGTTTGCTTCTCCCCAAACAGCTGCACAAACACAACAAAAGTCTTTATCAGTGTTATTTTTTAGAATAAAACCACTAGATGAACTTGGGTGATCAGAATCAGCTGAAAAAAAGGTTTTCTTTAATTTTGTTTTGACTGATTTATCCTGATCTTTTTTCGACTTCTGTTTAACACTGACCACATTTTTTATTGGAGCTTATTTAGCAGGAGGCTCCTTTATAAACTTAACATTATCCGGTGATGTAATAAAAGCAATATGGCGTTTTGAGTGAATAGGTTTGCTTTTTTTTCCAGAGAAAGTACAGTAGCCCTCAAAATAAAGGTCTCCCATATGAATTGTTGTTTTATTAATTATCTCTTTTTTTATATTCAAACTCTTTCACTGTATATCTTAAGGGATGCAAATCACAATGGTAAAATGCGTTAACAATTAATCCTCTCTTTGTAAGTATGTTGGGCTATATTTTGTTAAAAATAATGTGAAAGTTGCAACAAGGCAAAAAAAATCATCATAATTAGACAAGGCATCAGACCATATATGTTTGTCCAGTGGTTGAAGGTGATGTGTACTATAAGGTGGAATGCATATTATTTCAATATCCATCTCTATTGCTAATTCAATTGCTTCAAAAATTAATCATCCGAAAATAACAATACTTTTTTTCCATCCATTAAAAAAAATTCATTAAAATGATGTAAAAAGTCATTATACATCTCTTGATCAATATATCCACTTTTACTGCAATGTACTTTTGTGCTTAAAGGAAATATAGATGCATCTGGAATCTTTGTTCCCTTAAATATGAAAAATGGTGATAAGCTATCTCCTGCTGCATTGACAGTGGCCAGGTATGTTGTTAGTGTGCCACGTTCACCAATAGTTAACTTTGGTACCTCACGAGAGCCCTTTTCATAAAACCACTTGACACAAATGAAAGGCCGCTTTCATCACAATTATAAATCAAGTTTTTTTTTTTTTTTTTTTTTTTTTATTATTTACTATATATACATTTTAGACTATACATTATAATAAGATTGTTTACATGTTTCAGAGTCTAACATCGATCTATCAAAAAAAATATACTTTGTGGTCAAAAAATTGATTATTTTGATTATTTTTCGACAATAAGCATTTAAGCAGAAAAATATTTTTTCAACTTCAACGTTTATTCACAATATTTAAAGAATAATCAAAAGAAAGTATATAAAATCTTTATTTGATAATATTCTACAAATATCAGTTGAAAGTTTCGAAAAAACCTAGTAAATAGAGTTTTTAGTCTTTATGCATTATTATATTAAACCTGAGTCGCATAAGTGATAAATTCGCTCCATGACGAATTCACCCCTTACCTTACTATATTGAATATATAATGTATACTAATCTATACCATACAACTATACTAATAAAAGCTAAAAAATTTTTTTAAGCTTCATGAACATAAACTGATTCGTGTTCGTAATCCATGGGGAAATGATAGAGAGTGGACTGGTGCATGGTCTGACAAGTATGCTTTTATTGATTTTTAAAAATCATTTTTTATCATAAAAAAAATTAATAAAATAATATTCTCTATATTTTTTTAGATCAAATGAATGGCATCGTGTATCACAAGCTGATAAGGAAAGTCTTGGAATAACTTATGATGATGATGGTGAATTTTGGTGAGAATTAAATTTTTCTATTTATTTAATATAATAAATAACAATTGCATATACATATATATGCAATAATTGTATATGAAAATGTATAATTATACATATTATTGCATATATATATGCAGTTATAGTTAAATAATAATTATATAATTGTGTATATATAATATATATTTATCTAAATGCAACTTTTTAAAATTTGTCTGAATTTAACTGTTAATTCTGAAGTCTACAAAATTTATTTATACCCTATCTAATCTTTGATAGTAAAAGTAATAGTTTCATATATATATTACCACTGTGTGTTAAAGTTAGCCCCTTGTATACTATATTTTTATTTTTAATTGCAAGATAATTTTATTTTTAAAACAATTTATGAAAGCATAGTCATAAATGCATATTCTGGCCAGTTGAAAAGTATTAATGTTTATCTTATTGTTAGTGTTTTTTTAAAACCCAGCCTACCAACTAGTGCACCTTTTTTGGAAACAAAGATACAAGAATAGTATTTAAAACATTTATCTATTAATATTTATTTAATTTTTAGCAAATGCCTGGTACTATTTATATTTGGCTTTCAGATATCAGAAATATATCAGAACTCTTTTGCTTTTTTTAACAAAAGTTAAGAACTCATCAGCAGAACACATTTGCTTTACATTAGTGTTGTGTTGTTATGTAGCATTTGAGTACTTTCTCCAACATTTTTTCACACACTGCTGGCAATTAAAGTTGATTAAAGCATTTCATTTTTCAGTAAGAAGAGCATTGACATCATTAATAAACTTTTTTAGAGCATTAACATCATTGATAAATGTTTTCAGAAAAAATATCTGATTTTAGATCTAATATGAAATAATCCTTAGACTATTCATCTGCTAATTTGGTTATTTTTTAGATTTTATTATTTATCGGTAGTCTAGGAATAAGCTGTTTTCAACAAAATTCAAAACTTTTAACTTTTACTATTTGAAAACAATAGCATCTTGCTAAAACATCCCAACTGACTATCTGTTCTACTGACTATCTGTCCTACTGACTCTCTGACTATCTGTTCTATATCTTAATCTGACTAATGTTATAATGATAAAAGCATTAATTTACAATCTTTAATAAAAAACATTTTAAAACTTGTAAATCCTATAGAATCATTAAAATCGTTTAGTTTTATTTAATCACTTTATGAAGACCAATTAAATAATAGGAAATTAAATATTAAATGCATTATCTTTTATATATTTAATTCAAAAGTAAATATATTAGCTAAATTTAAATTAAAAATAAGAGGTTTACAAAATGTATATTTATATACATATAAATATATTTGTATATATGCTTGCATATATCTTCATTTGAGTGCTTGATGGATTCAGTTAAAATTAAGACATAGTTATGTATATATATTTAACGACTATTAAATATTCATGCTTATTGCAATCATCAGATAAAAATATGATTTTTTCTCGTGAAATTTTTTTTTGTATAAAAGAAGATGTCTGAGAAAGTCTTTTGGTTTGTGGTTATCTAGTAGGAATTTGTTTTTATTATGACATTTGGATTTCAATATACTTTTTTTAGTTTAATAACTACTTTATTTTTGTACAACAAAATTATTAGTTTTTTGTATAAACAGTTTTTGATTGGCTGTTCCTTTATCAGATCTCAGTATTGATGGCTACACTAAAATCCATAACCTTTGTGTTTCTCCGTATCTTACTCACCTTAATTACTTATGTTGACTCCTTGGTTTGTGTCTTTTTTCAGATCCTAGCTTGTATTCAGTTTCTTATTATTCTCCTTAAGGTGGTTCTGACCAATGGTCTCTATCCCTAACTTCTTTTTTGGATTAACCCTATCATTGCCCAATTTATTACTGATCTAAAGCTGACTGAGATTCTTTTTGTGAGTTTCTTTGTGTTGGTTAGGCTGTCTTTCCTCTCTCCGCTGATAAATACGCCTCCTATGTAACATTCTGGATCAAGTCATGTTGAGCCTTATTCTCCTCCATAATTTTTAATTTCTTGTGCAGCTGCTATACCTAATTGTTTTATTTTTTTTCATCTTTTTCAAAAGCACACCTTTTAAAAACAAATGCCTTTTTATTATTGTAAGAAATGGATATAAAGTAGATTGTCATAGGTTTTTTGAAAGGATGATGAGTTTTTTTTTAAGGTTGAACATTAGGTTTAGAAAGTTAGAAGTTTTATCTTAATTTCTATTTGAAAGCTAACTGTTTTAGAAACTTTTATCATATTTTTACAGATTTTATCTATATGTATGTCTAATTTTTATCTATATGTGTGTCTACAGATTTTATCTATATGTGTGTCTACAGATTTTATCTATATGTGTGTCTACGGATTTTATCTATGTGTGTCTACAGATTTTATCTATATGTGTGTCTACAGATTTTATCTATATGTGTCTAATTTTTTATGTATCACTATTAGTCTGTCATCATGTTAAAAAAATACCCAGTTTAACATGGTCAATAATAAAAAAGTGCTCCCCCATACAATAACATTACAAAAATATGCCCACTAATGCTGATATAAAAAACTAATAATTTTTGTTGTAAAAAAATACAAAGGAGTTGTTAAACAAAAAAAAGCAAATTGATATCCAAATGTTGTCATGGGAACAAATTTTTATTAGATAACCACAAATCAAAAGACTGACGTTCCCCAATCTAGTTTTCTATTATGCGGAAATATTCTCAAGAGAAGAAACCATATTTTTACCTGATGATTGCAATAAAAAATTACACTAATAGTCAAAAAATATGTAGTTTTTATTTATTGTATTTACAAAAATTTGGTTTTGCCGACCTTTTTTCAATGGTTTATGGTAAGACCTTTGTATTTGTCAACCTGATGCCAACCTCTAAAAGATTGAGGTCGGCAAATTATTGCCGACCTCAATTTTCCTAATTCCATGGGTTGATATATATATATATATATATATATATATATATATATATATATATATATATATATATATATATATATATATATATATATATATATATATATATATATATCTGTGTGTGTGTATACTTGCACATAAAGTATACATAGTTTATATATTATGTGTTTGATTATTTTAAAGTTTATAATCTTTTTTTTATTCAAGGATGTCATTCGATGATTTCAGAAAGAACTTTACTCGAGTTGAAGTTTGCATGTTGAGTCCAGATTCTGCTGGTGATTCAGATCGTAAAAGTTGGGAAATGGTTATTAACCAAGGGTCTTGGCAAAAACACGTTTCTGCAGGTGGTTGTCGAAACTTTCCTGAAACCTTTCATTTAAATCCGCAATACAGGTTGTTTTTTTTATGATAGTAAAAATGATAACTTTTTTTACTAATCCATTTATCGTATATCATTTTTTCTTGTTGCATTTAAATTTTTAATTATTTTAGAATTAAACTGGAGGATCCTGATGATGACGATGAAGTTGATAACTGCACAATTGTTATTGGTGTTATCCAAAAGGGAAGACGTAAACAAAAAAGAGTTGGAGCGCAAAATCTTACAGTTGGTTTTGCTATTTATAAGGTACATTATGTTTTTCTTATATCAAAAGTACTAAAAAAATTGATTGTTAACATTGAATTATTTTTAAAACCATTCTTAAATATTTTGTATTTTAATTTTAAATATATAAAAAATTAAAAATTTGTAATTTTCTGACATCAACAAACAGTTCTAACAGTTTTCAAATTTAATCTGTTAACCCCCCTATTATAATAGATTTTTTTGTTGTTATTTTTCACTCGACATCTTTTTTCAAAAGCTTATTTAATGTAACAGAATTTTTTTTATCTTTTAATAAGTTTGAGTTTTTTATTTTTTTTTAATAAAATATTTACATATATATTCAGCCAATACAGTTTGTTAAATTCCTGGTCCTTTACATGATTTTCTGTTTTAGTTTTAAATACCAATCTTGCTGCACAATTTTGAACAGACTGCAGTTTTTTTATTAGTGACTTTTTAAATCCAAAGTAGAGGGAGTTGCAATAATCTAGCTGTGCAAATATTAGTGAACATACTATGGTACACAAATCTTTGTGCGATAAGAATTGTTTTATTTTGGATATTTTGCTCAACATATTGTAGCAGTTTTTAACAATCTTATTTATTTGTGTTTTTAAAGATAATTCATTGTCGAATATCACCTTTAAAATTTTTGCTGAGTTAGCAAATCTAACTGCATTCCTTGTTAATAAAAGTACTTTTAATAATAATAATTATAATAATATAATATCTAATATATAATAATAATAATAATATAATATCTTTTTGAATGCTAAGTGGTGCCATAATTAATATTTTTATTTTCGATTGGTTAATACATAAGAATGGTTCACTCATCCATTTAGATATTCAAAACATTTGGGTAGGGCTAGTGCATTATATTGAGATGAAGGAAGGAATGCTTTTAGAGTTTGATGATCATCGGAGAATCCAAAGGTTTTAACATTGATTATTTCCAGATATTTGTATAGTGGTCTCATATAGATACTAAAGAGTTTTGAACCCATGACTGTACCTTGTGGTGCTCTATATTTTACATTTTGGTTTATGGAATATGAGTTACCAATTTTAACTTTTTGACGGTTAATTAAAAATGATTTGAACAACTTGTGAGCTGAGTCAATTATACCTATTTTACTAGTTAATAGTCCAAGTAGTTTTTGCTGATCAATAGTGTCGAAGGCAGCACTTAGATCAAGTAACATTATTACTGAAAGCTGAAGGTTTATCAAAGAGTTCAAATATATCATTGGTAAGCTTAAGTAAAAGTGTTTCAGTTGAGTGATGTTTTTTTTATCCATATGGATGTCCTATATAAAGATTGTTTGCTGTCATGCAGGAATCAAGATGATTGGAAACTACTCATTCTATTAGCTTGCTAATGAATACTAAATTAGAAACTGATCTATAGTTTTTAAAGTCTTCAGTACCTGTGGCAGTCTAACTTCTTTATTATTGGAAGTAATGTAGCAGTTTTTAGACAATCCAGGCTGCTTAATTCTAGTGATAGGTTTACTATTTCAACCTATATAAGTATAAATGTTTGTAAATTTTTCTAATTATTTAATAGTAATTTTTTTATCAACTAGTTCATTACATTGGGACAGTATCAATATATGGGGTATCAATTTAATTTTTTTTAATTAAGTATCTGGTTGTTTCTATGATAATCAGTTAAAAAAAATTAATCACACTTTTTTTTATAATTTTTAAATGAAGAATGCTTCTGTTATGCAGTACTAGGAGGTTTGATGACTAGGATAGTGTCATAGTTTCTGCTTTCCATAGTTATGTAAAAACATCAACTGAATTTTTTTTTATATATATTTTTTGTTTTTTTAAAATAAAAAGAAATTTTTTAAGAAATAATAAATTTATTCACCATCTATTAAGTCTCAAAATATTTTAAAAAAATCCCTTTGAAATTTTATTTTATTAGCTTGAAGATGATGTTAATGAATACATTGAACAAGATCGTTTAAACAAGGACTTCTTTTTATATCACAAATCATTTGCTCGTTCTGAAAATTTTGTCAATGCACGTGAAGTTACAGGAAGATTTAGTTTACCACCTGGGGAGTATGTAATTTTACCTTCAACATTTAAAAATAACGAAGAGGGAGACTTTATATTGAGAATGTTTTCTGAGAAAGCTCACAAATCAAGGTATTATTTTTAGATTTTCGTTATTGTCATATTTTTTTTCTCTATATAACTTAACTGATGCTATCAATGAACTTAAAATGTTATTTAACTGTGGTATTGTTAATGGCGATTATTCTGCAATAAAGTGTGCCATATTATTTAACTTTAGTTGTTATCTTAGTTATATTAAAAATATTAATCATATATAATGATATAAATATCAATGGCATCATCACAATAAAACAGTTGTTAAATATTTATAAAATAATTTTTCATTTTTTAATTTAAATGTGTATTTAAAATAAAGTTTTTATTTCCTTATCTAAAAAAATTATAATAGAAGATTTTTTTATTTCTGACTCTATCTGTTTTCATTATATATATATATATATATATATATATATATATATATATATATATATATATATATATATATATATATATATATATATATATATATATATATATATATATATATATATATATATATATATATACATATATTTTTTTTTTTTTTATTTACTTAGTTGCATGGATACATTAACACAAATTGAATATAAACCAAGACAAGTGAGTAACAAAGTACTTAGAGGTATCCAGAAGTAATGATATAAGGAATTAAAAGAACAAAAAGATTTTAATTTTTTTTTTATTTAATTAAATAATCAAAATACTTGCCCTTATTATTTATGGGAAGCTGCATTAGTTTAGCATTGGTTTGAAATAACCATCTATTTAGGCATGAATTGGCCTTGCCAGGTAATTAATGTTGTGATTATCTGACACCTGCAATAAAGAGTTTTTTTATTTGCAGCCAATTAAATTATATTTATAATTGTATGTAAGAAAATGTGTTAGTTATTATTGATGAGTTGCTATTGTATAGTCTTGATGTTTTGTGTACATGATAAGTACAGTCTTGATGTTTTGTATCATTTTAATGTTGTAACAAGTTACAAAATTAAAATGATACAAGTTTTAAAATGAAACATGCTTATTTTTTGTATAGTTATATATCAAAATATCTATACATCGCATTATGTAATACTTAAAGAAAAATTTACTTTTTTACAAAATTTTGGCAAAATTATTATTACTTCTGGATATTCCTAAGTAATGCTTATTTTATGAGTAACAATTTGTTTTAAGTTTTGTGTTAATTTTTTGCTGGTGAACAAATAATTGACTAACAGAACATAGTACAAATAAAGTATTAAGAAAAGTAAAAAGTTTTTTAAATATATTGTTTTATTTAATAAAAATAATCAATGTTTTCATAGTTTTTACCATGGAGCTATTTGTTTTTAACATTATTTTTTGTGAGATCAAAAAATTGCTTTTCTTTTCTTATATCAAATATTTTTCTTAGTTTGATGTTTAGGTAATTTGTCATTTATTTATTAAAACATTTTTTTGAGGTTTATAATATTTATTAATGTTTTTTTTTTTTGAAAGGAATCAGCCAGTGAGGATGCTAGTTTCGATGCCAAATTCAAACCATTCTTTGTCAAAGTTGCTGGAAAGGTAAAAAAAAATTAATAATGTATTTCAGATAAAATTGTATTTTGAAAAATATTATCTTATCAATCTCATCTGAAAAGAAAAAAATTTAAAAAATAAAACATTTTTAACAATTATTTTTAACAATAATAAAAATGTTAAATAGTTATTTAGAATTTAAATAGTTGCTTAACATTGGTTATAATATCCAACAAAATTTATTTATTTTTCATTTTATTCAACCAATTATTTATTAATTTTATTTGACTAAGTTTTAAGGTAATAGTAAGAAGTGTGATGATAGGTGAGCTTGATGAAGTATGCCATCATAGTTTTAAAGAGATCGTAGAATGATCTAAATCACCTAGAATGAAAAAGCTAGAATGGCTTACATTGATGAGCATTTAAAATTAACAATAACAACAATATTGGCTGGTGGACAATAAGAATAGGGTCTGTCAATTGATTAGAAATAAAATTGATAAGAGTGGAGTCTTAGGAAGCAGGAAAACAATAAAATAAAAAAAAGAGAAAGGTGATTGAATGAATAGGTGGAGATGGAAACACATAAGGAATGGTCATAGGATGCAAACTTGATTTCATGACAATTAGATGAATTGATGCATAAGTAAATGCCCTAGACAAGTATGTGACTATTGGAGTATTTGTGTGATAAAAAACTTCAATATTCCTATGCCAAGCATGGGACTAATGAAATCTTTGTTAAAAACTATTAACACATTAATCTTTTTTAATGATTAATTTGTAAATATTTTTTTTAAACTTTTATTAAAAAAGTGTCTAATTAAAAAAATCTCATTGTAGCATCAAAAGGTTTTTCTTTTTTTTGAAACTAATTCCTAACTCCCAATTGTTGCAAGCATCGACTATTAAGTTGGGAGTTACTTAAAAACATAAATATAGAATAGAGTTAAAAAACAAGAAAACCGTTGACAGAAGATTTGGAAAGTTGTAGATTGTATGAGTCAGGAAAACATGAAGATGGGAGTTCCAAAAGGTTGAAGTATGGGGGAAAAAAACTAGATAAATAAAAGATTTTCAAGCATGCCAAGACAGATACTATAAAAAGATACAACTTGACAATTGCAAATGACAAGTCAAGCAAGAATTATTTTTGGTTGATGGAACTAGAGATGATAGCTCCTTTGAGCACCAACCATGATAGTATTTGCAGAAAAGAGAAAAAGATAACTTTGCAAACATGAGAGAGCTTCAAGCATGGCAGATGAGCAGGTCCAAAATATGTTTAGGATACATTTTTGGACCTTTTCCAGAATGAAAGGGCATAAATGGAGAACCAGCCTAAATATGACAACAGTATTCCATACAGGGGCGAAAAAGGGATTTGCTGAGGAGGAGAATAGAATCAAGAAAAAGATAATGGCGAGCACAATAAAGGGAAGTATCTTATTTTGTCAATTTGATCAGAAGTTACAAAAAAAAAAGATTGCAGTCTTGAGAAAAAGGAGAATAACAATAAAACAAAGAGAAAGAAGAGAGAAGAGGTGCTAAGGTGATAGAGAGAAGAGGTGCTAAGGTGATAGAGAGAAGAGGTGCTAAGGTGATAGAGAGAAGAGGTGCTAAGGTGATAGAGAGAAGAGGTGCTAAGGTGATAGAGAGAAGAGGTGCTAAGGTGATAGAGAGAAGAGGTACTAAGGTGATAGAGAGAAGAGGTGCTAAGGTGATAGAGAGAAGAGATGCTAAGGTGATAGATAGAAGAGGTGCTAAGGTGATAGAGAGAAGAGGTGCTAAGGTGATAGAGAGAAGAGGTGCTAAGCGGAAGCATGTAAAAGAAGTCAGAGGATTCAAACCAGATTTCTCCTCAAATAGGTTAAATCATGCATAAGTATATGCCCAAGCTAAGCATGTGACTATTGAAGGCTTTTTGAATCAAAGGATATTTGCCATCAATACTAATATCTGAAGAAGGAACAGCCGAATTTAAACTAGTCTTAAATAGAACAAGCTGGTCTTGGTCTAATCCCTGTTAAATCTAATCTCTTACTAAATTCACCAAGTCTAGTGAATTCAGTAAGAGATAAGATTTAACTAGGGGAAAGTTACTTAAAAGACCACTAATATTTGTGAAAGATATAAAACATGTAGGTGGTGGTGATTTTGATGTAGGTAGTTTTTTTCCTTTTGATGACTGTAACTAAAATAGATTTCAGATTAGGTTTCATATATATTTATGTAAGTGATTAAATTTTTTTATTTACTTAACCTAATAAAAATTCTAAAGGTCTTTTTAATAGGTCTGCTTATAAAATGATAAAGATTTAACCCCTCATCTTTGTTATAAATCGTTTCAACTTTCTCCCCCATTATACGTAGCTTCAACCCTCTCCCCTAATATTAATTTAAAGAAATGTTTAAAAATGTTTAGGATGAAGAAATTGATGCATTTGAGCTACAAACTGTACTAACCGCTGCATTGAAAACAGGTATTTTAGCTGTCTTTTCTTCTTGTAAAATTAGTTAACTAGATAAATTCAATTATTTAGTTATTTATTTGTAAATCAGAAGAGTAGATTTTTATGTTCAATCACAGAGGTTTTTTATGTTCAATCACAGAGGTTTTTTGAACAAAATTTTTTTCATAAGTATTTTTTTATCTAATAGAAATGCACGGAAAAGAGTTCAGTTTAGAAGCTTGCCGTAGCATGGTGGCAATGACAGATCGTGATAGAAATGGAAGATTAGACTATAATGAATTTAGATCATGTTGGCGTACAGTTATGGAATGGAAAAATAATTTTAATGCATATGATAAAGACGGTAGTGGAGACATGGATGCTATTGAGTTGCGTGATGCACTTGCTAAACTTGGCTTTAAACTCAGTTCTCCTGCGTTGTCATCACTTGCTTTACGATATGTAAATAAACATGGCAATGTATCTTTTGATGACTACATTCAAGCATGCTGTCGAGTACGATCTAGTTTTGGTAAACTAAATTATTTTTTCACGTTTTATATAAAGTTGGTTATTACTCTTATTATCTTATGCTGAAGAAAATTTTATCTATACACTAGAGAAAAGTTTTTATTTGCTTTAACTGTTTTGCAATCAATATTTTGGGCCTAATAGTATATGTATTTATTAGTAGATTTGCACATATATATGCTCAATCTACTAATAAATACATATACTATTAGGTGCTGTACTAATAAATACATTTACAATCAAGACGCTCTTTGTATTTACTATAAGTATATGCGTATTGATTGCAAAACTGGTAAAGTACTCAACAAACAAGGTGGAAAAACGTAAACAAATTTTTTTTGATTTATTTTTCAGAGTCATATTTATCTTATCAAGGAAAATCATTTACTTTGGATGACGTAAGACTAACTTTCTTTGTGTTTTGAATTTTTTTTCAATCCCATAAATTAGATATACTGAGTTTTTATTTTGTTTTTTAGTATATCATGTCAGCTATTTATACTTAATTACAAATGACACACAGATCTCTTTTTACATGTTCAAAATAAGACGAATTCAAGGTTCAAGGTTTATTTACCAAGAGATGGTTTTTGTTGTTGTTGATTTCTTGCTTGTGGCAACATTAAATGATCATTACGCGGTTATTTCTAAGTTTGAATGATTATGTTTTATTTTTTGTCATTGAATAGTTCTGTATCTGTGTATCATTTTTTTACTTTTGTATATTTTGTATTAATTTAGGATTTTATTCGAATATTTTTATTATGGTTTTTATTTTTCGGTTTTTGCCGTGATGGTATTTTTGTAGCTAGGTTACAAATTTGTTTTGTATCTATATGACGATATTTAAATAAATATTAAGTTTACTCATGTTTTTATTAATAAAAAAATACATGAATTATATTGAAATTGCGCTCAATAAATAATTAAAAATGGATCGAAAAATCTGTCTTTAGAAAATAAGATTTTATTTTATATATATATATAGATAGATAGATAGATAGATATCTCTCTTTCTATATATATATATATAGAGAGAGAGAGAGTGCTCGATGAATTAAAGTAAATTAAAATAATTTAAATTAAAACAGAGCTGTATTTACATATATTATTTATAAATAAAACTGCATATATTTTACAACTAATAGTTTCATGCTAAATGCAATCATCAGGTGTAAATATGTTTTTTTTTTCGTAAAAATAATAAATCTGTACAAAAGAAAATGAGAAAACAAATCTGTACAAAAGAAAATGCTTATACGAAAAACTAATTATTTTATTGTATAAAAATCCTCAAGAATTATTAAAATCTTCAAGAATTATTTATAAATTATATATATATATATATATATATATATATATATATATATATATATATATATATATATATATATATATATATTCTTTTGTTGTTGTTGTTGAAACAATTCATCAGTCAAGAAGCAAAGGGCAGCACATCTATTTTTTATGTTTTCGAGTAAATGTAATTCATAATTCACTTTTTCTAATACTTTTCACACATGATATACTCATCTCTTTTTCATATATTTTACATTTTAAGACTAAAAACTGCATGAAATCTTTGTTTTGAAATTTTTGTTTTCGTTTTCACTTTGTTTTCGACTGAAAAATTGCTAGTTAATGATTTTTGCTTGGAAATAATATTTTGCTTACAACATTTAAAAAAATTTCCTGGAAATTTTGCTCAAAGTTTCCGAATTTTTTTTTATTGCAATAAACTTATAGTTATATAGTTTTATAAAATTTCTTTGTTTCAAAAATATGCGTTTTATCATCGTATTTAGGTTTTCTTTAAATATTTCAACAACAAAAAAAAACAAAACATTTTTTTAGTTAAATTTTTATCAATAATTTTATTAACTCGTCGTCTCTGTTTGTTTGTCTATGAGTATATCAAATTTTGTAATCAATTTTTGAGTCACTTCTTGATGATAGATTTTCTTTAAATTTTGCATACTTACTCTTGCTTGATGACTACAATATTCAATAAATAGTTGAGTAATAATTCAATTAATTTAGTTAATTTTAATTAAGTTTATTTTTTATATGGAATAATGATTTTTAAAAAAGTATATTGATTGTTGTCATACATAAACGAGCGTTTAGCATATTTGGATATCGCGTTGAAGTCGTAAACTCGCATCTTCTTTAACGATTTTATTTTTTAAACACGCATACAACCGAATGTTAATAAAATATAACAGTAATATCAGAAAAAATTGATTGCAAAATTTGTGTTTTAATAACATATAAAAGCATCGGGTTTTAAAAATTCGTTTTTAATTTTACTTGTTATAATAAAGTTTATCGATTTAAGAATCGCGCATTTTTTAAAAACATTCGAGTTGTTATATGTTACTTCTACTTCCATTACTTTTGTGAAACAACAAAAATTAAATGTTTTCTGAGCTTATCTTATGAGGTCGTATACAACATATCTAGCTTTTACTTCTCTTAACTACGATGTTAAATGTTCACTAAATACAAAGAATAAAATCATTTTTAGATTAAAAAGTTTTTTTTTTTTGTATTTTGTTGAGTGTTTTAAAGAAATAAAGATTTTTTAAATGTAAAGATCGCATACAAAAGCGATTTTGGGGAGGGTGTGTGGGAGAAATGGGTGTTCCGCCCCCACAAAGAAGGTGATTTTCAAGATATGGTTTTTTTGTCGAATTTAATAGGGTTTTTGACACAATTCAATCATGTGAATTTAAGGATCTTTTTTATTATTTTTAAGAAACCAGTCGGTACTTTTTAATAATTCGACCCCTCCCCCTCATTTTATTCGTAGAATTGCATATAAAATTTTTGAAAATATAGGAGTATTTTTATGTATAAAGATTGCATTTAAAACATCTTTATAAAAGATACGTGTTACAAGCTGTGTTAGATAATAATTTATCTAAAAATGACATTAGAAATTATATTTGATTTGAATGTTCAGTAAAATGATAGTATTGGTTAAAAAATACGGTAAACATTTAAACCATTTTAAAAGTATAGCATAATTTTTTAATTTATTAATTTGTAAAGTTTTTTTTTTTTGTTATTTAGGCACCCCAAAAAGACCAAATGGTCTTGCCACAGAGCACCGTGGAAGTGCATTTAACTAGGAAGTTCACGCCTCCTTCCTTACCGTGACGCGAAAATATGTCCAGAGCTCGTTTCGAACCTGGATCTCCTGCTTATAAAGCAAGCGTTGTAACCACTGCGCCACGGCCGCACAAAGTTAAAAATTCTCTAGCAAGGTTGTGGTGATATTCAAGTCTTAAAAGCACTTATTTAAACATAGCGGTGGAATTTATGACTCACAAATTTGTTTCACAAGTTCAATATTAATCTCTTGCCTTTTAACTTATCTATGATTTTAATTTTAATAAAATCACCCTTTTGTCCCATTGATGGGGTATTTCTCGTTGAATTGGACCAACAAAAATCGTAAGGTAAATTATGAACATAATTCTAGTTGATATAATATTTTTCGTACTACTCTCAACTAGACTTATTTTTTTGTTGTTGTTGTTCTTTTTACTACATTTTAAATAAGCATTTTGTTTTAATATTTAAAATACAAATAAATAATAATAATAATATATATATATATATATATATATATATATATATATATATATATATATATATACCACTAGATCAACTTTGAGTCGACAGCAATAAAATACCCGCGGAAAGTCGACGCCTCAAAAATCAGTATAACTTTATCAATTAAAAATTTTTTTTTTCAAAAATTAATGAAATGGCTTCTTGTTCAATTGGGAATTAAATATTTTAAAACTTTTCTTCAATTTTCAATGTCAAGTCGACTTAACGTTTTCGAGAAATTTTTTTTTATTAAAAGTTGACTTTAACTTTTTTTTTTATTAGATCTCCTTAAAGTCGACAATAAAAAAATGCGTTCCCCGCGGGATAACAATTCTTATAAATACACAGGCCGAGGTGAAAAAAAGTGTGTATTTTTGTGTCACTGGTATCGCCGTGGTTCACAAAATTAATTAAAAGGTTTTATAAATGAAACTTTAAGGGAAAAAGTTAATTGAAAAAACATTACTTCAAAGTATAAATTTTATTCGGAACTGTTTTAAATTAACTTTAAAAAAATAAGTTTTAATGTCGTTAGAACTTCGGAAAAGGTTCGCATCTTTTATGCTATTTCGTTAATGATTTTGTTTTCAACAGTGTCTGGGCTAGATCTGTATTTTGATCCAAACTTAATAATATCTTGTCGACCTGAAATAGAAAAGATATGTGCTGTAATTTGAAATAAAGATACAAAGTTATCTACTCAAATCAAAAGTAAAATAAGAATAAATCAGCACCTTGTGACAAGTGATATAAATTTAAAAAAGTTTATGGATTGTTTTAACATTTACCCTTAATTTTTGTTTTATTCCATCTTATTTGATAAAAATTAACCACAATATTGTATTAAAAAGATAAATCTTTTTAATACAATATTATTATACCTAATCAGGGTATCCAAGTAAATGCATTAAGTGATACCCTGTGATTAAACTAACATACTTCAGAAATCTTTATAAAAAACACTCTCTCACTTATATTGTCCTTTTGATTATACCTACGACTTAAATAAGATTTATAGAACTTTTATAGCTACTCACAAGACTCAAAAGTTTTCACATATGTAGAACTTTCTCAAATGCTCTTAAATTTTACCCATCTCCTTGCCCTCATGTCTAAACATACTCTTGATACAATAAAATAAAAATTAAAAAAAAAAAAACACATTTATTAAAAGTTGAATTGTCAAAATTTGCTCCATAGTTATACTCAAAATAACTATTTAAGTATTTGCTTACAGTGCATATATAAGTATTATTCACTATATTAGAGGAACTATATTTGAAGTGGAGGAGCCAATTTAAGTTTATTAATAAGGTAAAATAAAGCTGCTATTGAAGAAAACTTTCAATTTAATCCCTAAAGTAATATAACCTTAAATAACAATTTTTTTTTCATAGTCTAATGTGATCATTAACATTTAAAAAAAATCTTCAAAATAAAAAAAAAAAGTTGTAATATATAAATAGAGTCAGATTATCTGGTGTATACTTTGCTATAAAACTTGAGACTGAGACAGAACTTTTTTCAGTTTTATTTATTTGATAATCATTAGTTTGAAAATGGAACTACAATTTGCTTGAACTGCTTTCATATTCAGTAGAAAAAGTTTTCATTTGTATTTTTTTTAAACTTGAGTACAGAATATTGATAAAAGTTATTTAATTATCAATTAAAAATAGTCATATAAAAAATAACTTGATATACAAATAAAACTTTAATTGTTTTTTAAATTTATTTGTTTTATTTATAACATATAACAACATGCCAAAAAAAAAATTAAATAGTAAATAAGATATATACCTAATTCATTTAAACTGCTTGCAGTGCTACTCTTAACTTTAATTGCTTTTAAAAGTCTTGCTTTACATCTTGTTAAAAAAACTTTAGTAAATTTTATTGTGTTCTTTTGTTTTTCTCATAACAATATTTCTTGCAAAAAATAAAAATGGCTACTTTAAAAACTATTCAAACAAATCAAAATATCTTTATATATATACATGAGTTTTGATAAAAAGCTCCAAGACACTTTCCCTATAAAAAAGATAGTAAGCTGCTGAAGTTTGATAGTCATTCCAGCATCCGAAACTGTATAATCAGCTATTAGTGTAGCAAGCCGATGGCAATTATTTGTACAAGATCACGTTAAGTTGCCTTATTATATTTTTAGAATATTTTATTCAAAACAGAATTTTTGTAAAAATCGTGTTCTAGAATAAATAGCGTTTTTGCTGAAACTCCAACCTGACTACTAATATCAGCCAAACCTAACAACTTTACTTTAATTGTATCTCTAGGAATTAAGACAGGAGAGGAACAACTAAACCCACTTCCAGACTGATAATTAATCTTCATTCTACATTCTAATTGATTTTCAGATAATGCATTTTTTATTCTTTGTTCATTTAATCATATATTGTTCAAGGCATTTTTATGTTCTTTACTTGTAAGTCTTGCAGGTATGCTAACTTGCCTACCATAAAATATAGTTAACTTGATACAATCATAGTTTCTTATTTTAATAAAGGAAGGTGAATGCGTTATTTCCTATTTCCTAGTTAGTCTTGCTTTCTATTTAGTCTTGTTTTCTATCTTGTATTCTATTCTATACCAGTAGTCATGCATTCTCCTAACTAAACCATTGTAGATCACAAATATAAGAGTGTTTTATCCACTACAATATGGCGAACAAAACTATCTTGTCAACTGTTAAATAAGTAATAATAACTATCTTATAATATATAGATCTAATTACTATACTAATGTGTCTAATAACTAATTATAAGACACTTGTATATTACTAGTAATTATTAGTTATTAGACATTAGTTATAGATAGTATTATTCTGTATGATACAGGCGTTATAGTTTAGGCAGGAACAACTTTATAGAGTTTAAGACTGTTAACAGTCAAAAACTCTTTATAGTTATTCCTGCCTAAACTATAATACCTGTACCATAAAGATTAATACTGCTAGTAATACTAGCAGTACTAATCTGAACGCATATTAGAAGTCAAATACACTAGTAGTATATTAGACTTCTAATAGGTTGTCTAGTTTACTATATAGCAATAATATTTCCTTCATAAAAGCACTTAAATATTTCGAAAAATAGAAAAAAGTTTTAAAATAAGATTCTTAAAGTTAGTGTAAAAAAATAAAAAGGTTCAGCTACAATATAAACAAACAATATAAACATACAAAATTTTCAAAATAAAGAAATCAAAACAAAAACATTCATAAAAAACAACAAGTTTCCGGGAAAAGCGACTCCGCATGGTAAGGAAATTCGTTTGAAATACGAGAAAAATGGAAATGACTTAAAATAAAACTGTATATCTCCTATATTTCATATATATGTTGTATTTGCAATGATATCCGTTAATAAACTCTCAAAACTTTAACTGAGTGACAGAGAAAACATTTTTAACTCCATAACAGCATGATATATACAGTTATACTTCATAAATTTCAAGATATTAAGTGCCGTCGACCTTACGTCGATATTTTGAATTTGTTTACATATATAAGCTTAAAATGAGATATTTAAAAAAATACTCATCGACGGCAGTTAAAAAAAACAAATTTGTATTTTTAATCAAAAACTACTATATTTCATTGAAATAGAAAAAAAAAACTTATATGTAAGACTGAATTTGATGAAACTAAGATGAAAAACGTTAGGTCGACTCAATTTTGTCGACTTTCCACTCAAGTCGACTTTCCGTGGAAATTTTTTACACAATTTGGCGACTTTAAGGCGATCTAGTCATATATATATATATATATATATATATATATATATATATATATATATATATATATATATATATATATATATATATATATATATATATATATATATATATATATATATATATATATATATATATATATATATATATGTGTATATATATATATATATATATATATATATATATATATATATATATATATATATATATATATATATATATATATATATATATATATATATATATATATATATATATATATATATATATATATAGTGCGGCCGTGGCTCAGCGGTTAGAGCGCTTGCTTTATAAGCAAGAGATCCAGGTTCGAAACGAGCTTTGAACATATTTTCGCGTCACGGTAAGGAAGAAGGCATGAACTTCCTGGTTAAATGCATTTCCGCGGTGCTCTGTGACAAGACCGTTAGGTCTTCTTGGGGCACCTAAATATTTAGGGGTCCTTTTGCAAACTTATGGAGCTTTTTACATTTCAATTATTTTTTGGTATTGCTTAGTAGCAAAGTTTTTAAAGATTTTTGGGCCCTAATAGCAGGTTTTGGGGGGTCCTTCTAATAGGGTAACCGTACGTCTCGATTTTAGTTACGCTGTTTCGGCGTCCCGGTAAAGATTATTGGGACAGTCAATTGTCTCGGTTTTGAAATAATAATGCTTTTGAAAAATTCAAAAATGATTATTTAGTTTTTATTCACCAACGTTTTAGCGTAATGGCCAGCAAAATTGTACAAACCCGGTAAATAAATCCGTAAACAAACCAGGCTATAAAAAAGCAACAGAATTTTAAAATTTTGAATTTTTATGTTGTTTCAATGACATTTCTTGTTGTACTTGATAATTTATTTATTTGATATATAACACATAAAATACAGCTTAGTACTAACCTTTAATTTATTTATGTAATATTTCAGTCTGATTAGCTCAGATAAAATAAAATAAGAATCTTACAAAAAACCATGTGAAAAACCGTTCACATTGCAAAGATAAGCTGACGTAACGTTAAAAATGTTATTTTCTTATTTTCTTTTCGTGGTATCTTATTTTCCTTTCGTGGTAGTTAGAATGCCAATTGCCTTTCATGCTGGTTACCTAATGCTCAATATTTCTTTGTATAATTTTCTTTTTTGTTTTTCCAATAAAAACGCCACCACATGAACACGTAAGCTTATACACACCCGGCTTGCTCTTTGGTAATAGTTTGGATTTGTTATTGCACAAAGTTCTTTTTAAAGTTATTTTTGGTGTTGTAAATATAACTTTGGCGCCGTATCTCTAGAGCACTTTCCTTAATTTTGATGCTATTCTAGAAATCCATAGGAGTTTTATTGTTATGTAACCATTTTCTGTTTGATCTGCAACTGCACCAACAGAATTGTTTTTGATTTTGAGATTTTTTGTAATAAGCTCAAGCTCTGATCTTTTATGGCCATTTTCAACAAACATATTTTTTATAAATTGTATTTCATCTTGAAGGTGTTTTGGGGAACAAATTTTTGAGGCTCTTGATATAAAACCTTTGAAGACTGCAGATGTTATTGCAGGATTAATGTTTGAATGTTGGTTTTATTTGTATATTCGCAATAGCAGATTTTCGATGGATTTTGAAATCATAGTGGAAATTGTTTGTATTTAATACTGTTATATCTAAAATGTTTAATTCCTTTCTTTTGTTTTCTATTTCCGATTACTTCTGCAACTCTCAAAGTTTTTGTTTCTAAATGTTGCAAAAATGTCTCTGCAACAACGACAATAAGTGGTAGTCCAATAGGGCCAGAGTTCGGTATAGTTCTAATTACGTTTTTATAAAAAAGTAACATTAGCTTAGTCAGAGTTCAATTAATTGGTAAATATCAGAAAAAGTTTAAAACTTAGTTCTGTTCGCAAGATCATTTTTATCATTGTTGAGTATGTCAATAATTTTAGGTATTGCTCTATCAATTGGAATCGAGAGGTACAAAGCTATCACATCAAACGAGACTTGAATTTCATTAGGGGAAATTACCCAGGATTTTGCTTCGTTGACAAATGAAGACGAGTTCAGTAACCTTGTTTTTTTTTTATTTAAAGTTGGTTGTATTATTTTAACAAGATATTCTGAAAAACCATAAGGTTATGGAAACCACTGGTCTTATTGGATAGTTTTTATCTGATTTATGAGCTTTTATGACGCCATATAGTCGTGGAGGAATGCAATCAGAAGGGTAAAATAAGTTTTTTTTATCAAATTTGTTTTCTTTCCTCAACTTACGTAAAAACTTCTGAAATTTTGTTATGATGGTTTGTGCAGGGTCATAATTGATAATTACCGACTTTTTAATTTCATCATCTAATTTCTTAAAAGTATTTGTTAATTACGACAAATTCTGAACCTTTATCAAACGGATAAACTCTTAGATCGCCTTTATTCTTTTTTAAATTATTTAAGGCGAATCTTTGTTGCTTTGTGAGATTGTCAGGTAATTTCTTTTTTAGAGAACTTGTCAGAATTTTACTAATATTTTGTCGTATATTCTCTGCGTATTTTTGTTTTGTTTTTCCAAATACAGAGCAAACGACTCAATCGCGGTTAACAATTCCATAAAAGGTACTTTTTTATATGAAGGTGCAAAATTTAGTCCCAAGTTTAACAGTTTGACTGTAGAAGAGTCTAGCGGCATTTGAGTAAGATTTAAAACTCCTGAATTAATTTTTTGTTTTGTTTTGTTTTCTCGTATGCATTTTAGTTTTTTATGGGTTTTTTAATAAAGATTTTCATATATTTCATTAAATGTGTTTTTTTAATATTGAAATGATGATTTTTTGATTTCTCTGAAACACTATCAACAATTTCGTAATGATAAGGCGTCAAAACACTTTTTAATTCTAAATTAATGGTTTTAATAAATTCCTTACTTTTTTAAAGTTTTAAAAAGCCTTTATTTTAAAAAGTCTTTACTTTTAAAAAGTTGATATTTTGCTTCGTTTCGAGCGTGTATCAGTAACTTTCGTTACTGATACACGTTTTCGTTTCCAAGGTAATGTTTTCAGCTTTTTTTGATTTAATTATCGATTTAAATTTAAATGATGATGGGATTATATTATTAGAAATACATCTTTGTAAAAATATAAACTGATTTTTTAAAATATAGTATTTTTAATTTTTTGTTCAAAAAGTAGCATTTTTGATTTTTATTTTTGTAATGTCTTCTAAACGGTTTTTTACATACGTTTTTTCTGAGATTCTTTTTGTATTTTATTTTACGTCTGATGACGTCTGAGTTAATCATACTGAAATATTACATAAATAAATTAAAGATTAGTACTTAGCTGTATTTTATGTATTATATATCAAATAAATGAATTATGAAGTACTACAAGAAATGTCATTGAAACAATTGATCATTACTTCGAGAAGCGAGAAGATTTATAATGTAACAAAAAAAAAACGAAGCAGATAAAACAGAAAATGGTTACATAACAATAAAACTCTCATGGATTCCAAGAATAGCGTCAAACTTAAGGGAAGAGCTCAAGAGATAAGGCTTTAAAGTTATATAACTTTAAAGCCTTATCTCTTATATTATAAAGTTGGCGGTGTTGTAAATATATATTTACAACACCGCAAACTTTAAAAAGAATTTTGTGCAATAACAAATCCAAACTATCACCAAATAGCAAGCTGGGTGTGTATAAGCTTACGTGTTCATGTGGTGGCGTTTATATTGGAGAAACAAAAAAGAAAATTATACAAAGAAGTATCAGGTAACCAGCATGAAAGGCACTTAGCGTTCTAACTACCACGAAAGGAAAATAAGAGAGTCACTTGAGATTAATTATGCCCAAACAAATTACGAAATAAGACACTTCCCACCGCTTATGAACAAAAACAACGAGTAAAAATTGCGTCAAATAGTTGGCAACCTCTTTTTAAAAAAATCATAGAAATTTCAAAAAGGTTTTTAAGTTACGTTTTTCAAGCTCATCTTTGTAATGTCTTCTAAACGGTTTTATACATACGCATTAGGGTATATCATACTGAGCCAAAAATTAAATTTTTAGAATTTTGACTAGCACGCTTGGATTCCTATGTATTTGGGTATAGGGAATTCAAATATAATAATATTTTTACAAAATATTGATGTCTAGCTACAGGGAAACGGGTTTTAAAATTAGGGTTTTTTTTCAAAAATTAGTTTATTTTAACTAAAGCTTAATTTTGGAAAGGTTTTAGTCAATTAATACTAAAAATTACAATTATATTAGGTAAAAAGTAAACTATGTGAAATAAAACAGATATAATTATTATTTAACTTCCAGGATTCTAGATCCAGAGAGCGTAAAAAGGGCTACGGCTCCCCCTCCCCCTTTTTTTTTTTTCAATATTTAATAGTTTTATTATGATTATAAGATCAAGGTATATTACAATTATCATATATATATATATATATATATATATATATATATATATATATATATATATATATATATATATATATATATATATATATATATATATATATATATATATATATTCCCACACACTGGATTCTCCCTCAAACTTACTCAAAATACCCGTTTAAATTAAAAATCTTGCTGTTGTTTTTTTGCTACAAATTTTCTTTTCAGCCCCCTAACATTCTTTTAAGATCAACATAAAAAACAAGAATTTTTTCAAACATTTAATGTTATGCACAACAAAGTTTAAATA